TTTTCACTAATAATTCTTTTTATACTTTTTTTTATTCATCATTAGTTGTAAGGATCATTATTACGACTACGAGATTTATGATCCATGACATAACTATAATTTTTTTTTGTATTTTGGCATTCTGGGAATGGAACCAGATGTAAGATTATGCAAATTATATACGGATTAATCATCATAATCATAGCACGTTCATTTTCGATGAATCCATGAACCCTTACGCCCATATAGCTACAATCCTATTCCTCAATATCATCCCCACCTCACTAGGTTGCACAATCAGATCTGCTTAAGACTCGTCGGTCGCGAAGCAAATAGTGTTTAAGGAGAATGGGCATGCGGATGGTATAGGAATCTTAATTGTTGCAATTATAATTATAGTTTCCTTAAGGTCAATTCAACCCCTACCACCACTACGCTTCAAATTGCTAATAGTATTTTTACCGACATTTTAGGATGTGGCACGGGATGTGACATGTGAACTTAGCAAATTTATAAATTAAGCATTCATTAGTTTCAGTAGAATAGCACATAGGCATAGAGGGGAAGCTGCCACACGCTTAAATTTGAAAAAAAAAACCGAGTAGAAATACAGAATTCCATGTCAGAGAGCACGATTCATTAAGAGAAATGATAGGATCAGAAATAGATTCACTTATATAAAATATCGTATTATATTACAGAAAATGGAACCGGGGCAGACGGAAATCTCTCGTATAAGAATATGGAGGAACCCGCATAAAAAAATAGTTGAAGCGAGAATGCGGAAGCAACGGGTTCTTATTATCGCGAGACAATTACAAAGGAAGGTCATGAAGATGAGAGGTCTCATCAAAACCTTCGAAAAGTATTGCGAGAAGAAAATAAAAGAAATCGACAGCGTAGAGAGCCACGAGGAACTGGAAGAAATATCGGAAAGCGATGATTCCAACATGGGCACTGATGACTAGGCTCGGTTTAACTAGATGTTTAGGATTTAGATGGGAGGAACTTGCAATCTGAGGAAGCTTATATAAATAAAAATTAGTACGTAATCGTCAAATAAACTGTACATTCGATCATGCGAATCGAGTTCTTTTAAAAACTCGTCACTGATCAATTTATAATTTCTAATCATTATTGTCTTAACAGACACAAGAAATTGAAAGTTGTCCTACTTGCGAATAGCCTACCATAGTAAAAGTTGTCTAGGAGAAATTTATCTCAGCAATGATACGACTAAATAGAGTCTATTCCATGAGGTTATTAAGCAAAGCTATTACGAGAAGTCAATAATTATCAATTAGAATTAAACAACATTAGAATTAAACAACTCTCCGATGTGTTATCGGATGGGTCGAGGTTGTGTCATCATGATCCACAGCTCAATCAACGCGAATACAACTGCCACGATAACAATCCTCGCGTTTTCTTTTCAATCACCAACTGCATTTGATTTCCTTCGTAATAAGGAAATTCTTCATAAATACGCATGTGTCATCATATGTACTTTACTCCAACATGAAAATATGCAAATCGGAAACATTTGAAAACTTTAAAGAATCGACAAGAAGCAGATCACCTAGCTAGCATGGAATCCAGGAGCAGGCTGTATTATTGTGAGAAGCACAAGATATTCCACCGCAGACGTGATGAGCCACAACGTTCTCACGCTGAAGAAGGTGTGCCGCATTCTGAATCAAGTTCAAAGGCCACCCAGACGTCACCCAAAGCCTCAGGAGTCGAAGCTGCCGGAACACTCTCAGGCTTCTCTGTTTTTCAACAATTGCTTCGGATGAAGCAATTATCAAAGCAGCTAGACGAGATTGAAGAAAAACAAAAATCCCTAAAGCAGCAGATGCAAGTTATTTTCGCAGCCCCTTTTGACGAATAACAACTTCGAGATGGGTACGATTACACCCTGACTCCTCAGGAAGTTAGCAGGAAACCTATAATATAAGAATAAAATTATTCAATAATTGATATCGAAAGAAAAAAAAAACAAATTATAATTCCCTATGTAGTAGTTAATCTTACGTAGTATTTTTGTACGACAACATTAAGAAATATTGTTGAACATACGATTAATTTTTTTTAGTGTTTTTCTATCATTAATAATAACACATACGTGTATACAATATATACTAAAATAATACTAAAATAGCGATCAATAATTATTTCTAAACAATACGAAGTCGAACGAAAGCAAAGGTTGAAGGACCCTATCTATCCATATAGGAAATTCAAGGTGAGTCACCAGTAGACATAATGTATAATGAACTACATTAACGAACTAATGTAAATTCATAACTGTAACGAATATTTGTAACAGGAGAAACCTTGTAACAACTATTAACATTCACTGAATTCCGAATCATTGCAACTACTGACGATAAAGATCTATGAACAATCACACCAGTTCTTACTTCGCTATGCTTTCAACCGCTGATTTCGAGCTATCGCTAAGAGGAATGGTGTTCATTGCACTGACCACTTGATGGCCACTCAACCGTTACATTCTAGGAAGGTGACAGCTAAGACCCCCAACTGATAAAGGTAAGGCATAAAACAAATAGAGCAAGAATTTGGTTACGCAGCGCTCCGACAACGGACATATCATAAGTCGCAATATTCGTGAATTGGTTATCCACGTACAAGACAATACAGGAAAGTCACAAGTGCCGACCTGCAAACCACTAAGCCTGAAAAAAAAAAATAAAATCTGACACCGTTAAATAGTAAAATCCAACATTGGAAATGAACCAGACCGGCGAAAATATATTGACACCTGCCTGCAAGTGAGCAACGTTTTGATATCTGAATTACAAGAAAAACTTCAGTCAAAAATCTAAAGCGATGGATCCAGCAATTCGATACGCAAGTTTGCAAACTTCACTACGAAATAATTACACAGACAGCTTGAGGCGACATATTCATCATAAACTCGCCACCTATGCCATCTATATTTCAGCCTGGCGAAAAGCGCAAGAAAAACCAGAAAAATTTGAGTGCATGACGTCAGATCTTGAAAACATTCTCAAGCCCTTGAACATTAAAGTAAAGAAAGGAATAATGTACGGCACGATGCACTTCATGCGATTAGATACGAAGCCACAAATCACTAAAATCTATATTGCAGACCAACCAGACTGGCGACGAGATGTGAAAACCTGTATACAGTTAATAGAACGTTTGAAGAACATACTTCAAAGAAGTGCCGAAGAAAACATCAAAATGGCCGACATGTTCTGTTACGTCCTGAATTGATTTTTGAACGTTTTTTTAAATGTCACGTTGTCTACCGCAACAGGGTAGAGGGACTCTTCCTTTGAATTTTCAATTATTGTGTTTGTTTTAATTATTTTTGAATTTTACTAACCTGTTTTCTAGTTCCAGGCTGTTGGTGTGATGTTTTGGGGGACGGACCTGGTGCTCCTTCGAGGAAGTAAGAGAAGTTGGACTCCGGAATGATGAAGAATCAAAGGCTGGAGCCCTGACTATGTGTTCCAGTGAAGAATCAGGGGCTGGAGCCCTGACAACGTGTTCTTTGGCATCCTTGTGGTGATTTCCTTGGCTCCTGGAATGATTGAGATGTCTGGAGTGATGCTCGGTTCTTGGAGGCTCTGCTGGAAAGTACTGGAACATCGTGCACTGGAACTGGTGATCCAGGATGTTCCAAGAGAGGTGTCCTGTCCACGTGGTGCTCTCGGGCCAGTCGTAAGCATTTTAGATGAGTGGTGTTGAAATATCGATTGAGTAATCTTCTGCTCCAATAGATTAGGAAGAAAATAATCAATTGAGCAACCTTCTGCTCCGATTGATTAGGGAGGAAATAATTAATTGAGCAACCTTCTGCTCCGATTAATTTAGTTTTGTGAGGGGAGAAACATGAGCAACCTTCTGCTCCATGTTTGTAAAATGAAGGGGTAACACACTGGTTGAAGTCTAAGATGTAAGAGAATTTAATTCATAAAATTCGAGGTTTATATACAATTTTTATATCCGGTGTGTAGCGTCAGCAATAAAATATTCATCCGGTTGATTTTGTCGCAGGTCAGCAGTTAGAGCGGATGCCGAATATTCTTCGCTGTTGCTAAGTGAAGTATTTAATAACAATTTACATTGTTTTCTCGCTGTACATTGTTTTTAAATAAAGATGGATTCAAAATATTGGCTTATGTTAAATTATTTCGTGATTGGCTTGTTTTAGCTTATTGTGTGATTGATTTGTTGTGATAATTACATATGTTTTGGCAATAAACAATAGTGAAATTTATTAGTTAATTAATTTAACATTATTTAGTGACCTTTCCTGTCAATTGTATTGACTTTATGATGATTTATGATGTATTGTTTGATTGCATTAGTGTGTAAGATCCTCTCAGAAGCCGCAGTAGCTGCTTGCGCCATGTGTATTCGAAAAAACGTCAGCGCAGAGCTGCGGCTTTTAGAAGCCGCAGTAGCTGCTTGCGCCATGTGTATGCGCAAAAACGTCAGCGCAGAGCTGCGGCTTTTATACATTTAGTTTTTGATTGCATTAGTGTGTAAGATCCTATCAGAAGCCGCAGTAGCTGCTTGCGCCATGTGTATGCGCAAAAACGTCAGCGCAGAGCTGCGGCTTTCAGAAGCCGCAGTAGCTGCTTGCGCCATGTGTATGCGCAAAAACGTCAGGGCAGAGCTGCGGCTTTTATACATTTAGTTTTCGATAATTTCGCGCATTTTTTTTCATTTCTCTTTTTTTTCCGGAAAAAAAATCATGGAGTATAGATTCTAGGATTCTCTTCCCATTTATAATGTAAAAAAGCCCAAATCTTCATTTTTCTTTGCAAAAAAAAAACATATTGTGCAAAACCACGCCCCTTTTTTCTCTTTGTTCTAAAAAAAAATGATCATCATCAACCCGGACATTTCGTTATTATGTTGCCGCCCCTTACATTCCGTCGTCCGGGAATTTGGGTTGGCAATAATTCTTGACTGTGGACCGGAGGAACGCGTGGAATTGAATCGACGTGTTGCAGCCATTATTTTATTATTATTATAATCATCAGAAGCCGCAGTATTTCTGATGTGATTTGTTGTGTGAAATCGTGAGGAAAAAAATAAAACAAGCAGGTAAATATAAATGAATATATATTTATTATTTATTAATTTCTCTTCATCTCGTCTACATTTTCTAGTCCTGCAAATACATTTCTCTCCTCTATTATTGCAGCGTATAAATGTGCGACAGACACGTGCGCGGCTATAACCTTCAATTTTTGGGGTTTGTGCAAAAAAATACAATGAAAAGAATGATGAAACGCTTGAATAAGAGAAGAAAAATTGGAAAAAAAAATCAAAATAATTAATAGAATCATCAATCTAAAAAATCAAATAAACGTGAAAAAGAATTTAAAAAATTGACCTGAAAGTAAAAATAATCGTGAACAAAATATCGTGAACAAAATAACCTAAAATATCAAACGAACTTGGAGGAAAAACCTGAAAATGAAAATAAATAATAGAATCAACCTAAAAAATCAAATAACCCTGAAAAAGAATAAAAGAATCGACCTGGAAGTAAAAATAGTCGTGAAGAAAATAACCTAGAATATCAAACAAACGTGGGGAAAAACCTGAAAATAAAAATAAATAATAGAATAAACCTAAAAAATCAAGTAAACCTGAAAAATAATGAAAAAAATTAATCTGAAAGTTGGAAAATTCCGGAAAAAAAATTGTAAAAAAATGATGACGGAAAAAAACGTAGGGAGACGAATTGAGCTGATTTTTTTTTCAGATCGAACGAGGTTCAAAGATGTCAACGAGGTCAAAGCTGGTGGAGTTAGAAGGACGGAGGAAGGAAAACAAGGAAGAAAGAAAGTTAGAGGAAGAAAGAAGCGGGGGCAGTCGAGGAAAGCAGAATGCTGAGAAGATGGAAACGGAGAGGGTTGCTGCAATGAGGGCTGAGCTCGAATTATTGAGGGAGAAACTGAAAGGACGACCAGAACAACCAGGACAGCCAGAGGATGGAGAGGTTCTTTTTCAGATGGCAACGAGATCAGAACCGGTGCAGGTATTGAAAGGACGAGGGATGAATAAAAAGGAAGGGAGAAAGTTAGAGGAAAAAGGAAAGGGGGGCAGTCAAAACAAGCAGAATGCTGGAAAGACGGAGGCGGAGAGGGTTGCAGCCATGAGGGCTGAGCTGGAAGTATTGAGGGAGCAATTGAAAGGACAATCAGGACAGCCAGATGATGAAAAGGAGCCGGATGGGGAAAGTGACGAAGATGGGAAGAACAGGGGCAAGGAGAACGAGGAAGGTCGAAAAAAAGGGGAGGAACGCGTCAAGCCGAACGGGACGCAATGTTAGTATTTTTCCCCATATTTTTAAAAATTTTCCATATTTTCTATTTGTAGTGGAGCGTGGGGCAAAATGGAACGCGAGGCAGAATTTCGCTGTAAGCAAATCTGGTAATCTAAGGGAGATAGGACATTTTTCATGAGGTCTTTTTTTGTAGAGAATTTTACAAGTTACAAAAAAGGTTCTTATCAAAAATGTCCTATTTCCCTTAAATTACGAGATTTGCCTACCGTGAAATTCTGCCTTGCGTTCCATTTTGCCCCACGCTTTCCTAACAAATAATGGTAATGATTTCGATATTGCAGCTACTGGAAGACGGAATTCAAAAAACTTCAACGGATGGTGGAGGGGTCCGTTACTTCAGGAAACCTAAGAGGGAGAGGAGGAGTTCATCGAGGAGGGAGAGATGGCAGAATAATAAACCAAAGAGGCAGAGGTGAAGTACGAGGTGGCAGGGGAGGAAGAGGACAATTCTACCAACAAGGATGGGGAAGGGGCGGGCAATCTTACGAAGGCGGCTGGGGAGGGGGCGAGAGAGGACGAGGCGGGAGAGATTCTCAAAGAGGGAGGGGATTTGCTCAGAGAGGGGGGAGAAAATTGACATTCATCAATTACATTAGTTATTGATAAAAAAAAGATAGAACAAAAAGTACCAAAAAAAGGACTGGTAGTAATATAAGCAATATTATATTTCTTGGCAAAAATGGCTGTTATATCATATTTTATAACATATTTTATAATAACATAATGAAGAAGTACGATAATAATAATAAATATAATATAACAATAAAGAATACATTTAAGATTAAGAAAGATGTAATGTAACAAAAAAAAAGACTGGTCATTTAATAAATAACGAACATGATTAAAACTAGAGGATTATCAATTTTTTAACATAACGATGGAAGAAGAATCTACATACAACCTGAAAAAATATGATGAACCTGAAAAGAATAAAAATAAAAGAACCTGAAAAAAAGCCGAAAGAATTACATAAAACCCGAAAAAAATATGAACCTAAAGAGAATAAAAATGATGAACCTGAAAAAAATAGACATAATAAACCTAAAAAAATATGAGGAACACATTACATCCAGGACATAGAGAATGATTTAAGTCTTCCACTGCAAAAACATATGTGATTAAAAAATAATTGTACGCATTTATGTGCATTATGGGTTAATGGCATTTATCATTTACCAAATCGATTTTTTCGGGAAATAATTATCTAGAATTAACAGGCATAAATTTTTATGAGATGAAATTATGGATTATACTCACAAATAAGGATTGAGATGTTCTGTTCTTGTCTGTCAATTTGAAGAATTGGGATTCTGTAGAGTCCATTAGGCAGTATCGCATTCATAGCCCCCATTGCCTTGCGGGGTGGTGGAGTATCTGTTTAGCCATTGATATTTATTAGAACTATATATACAGCGGAAGTCAGTCCTAACTTCTTAGAATATGTTTACCAAAAAATGTGAAAGGAAAACGAGAGACAAAAGGTGGAAAATTTCAGCATAAATTAATGCTAAGAATGCTAATTAATATTATTTGTCTTCTTGGTGGCAGTTGAAAGGTACTCAAAATTAAGAATGTGTACGCATTTCATTTAATGAAATATTCAATGAAAATTCGAATATTACAATTGGGAATATTTTATTAAATGATATGTGACAATTTTCATTCAGTTCCGAGTTCTATTTAGGACGAATTAATATTAATAATTGTGACCAAGATATTAGTGAAGGCTGCTGTAGATTGATAGTGGGATCAGAAAGGAGAAGGGAGTGGATTAAGTTGAAACATATCTAAATATGGATTGAAGTCATTCTGCATTTGAGATGATGAATAATCGTCGTTACGGAGTTATCAGTCATTAATCTTTGCTCACCCACATTATGACCTGCTGCTCTGACAAACATGTGCACCTCGTGGGCTGTAGTAATGACAAACACATTCTGAAAGATAGCAGATAGATGATTTGCACATCCAAAGAAGCGAGCCAGATCCCAAGAACCATTCTCGTACAGTTCCCACAGACAATCAATTGTTATTTGTCGACTCAAATTTTCCTGAGACGTTGGACGTCGTACTGGAATACTTCTGTCGAGGGCATCAACTTCCGTACGGGTGATGGTTTGTAGATTTTTCAATTTCGCTAAATATATATATTAATATATCGAATTAAATTCAGTTTCAATGGATGACATGAATATTGTATCATAATTATTATGAAGAATGATTTTATCTGTTGATCCTAAACTCGATTAAGCAAAGAAACTTTGTAAATATTCCTGATTTTTTAGTAGATGAATCCTCATTCCCCGATTCATTCTCCAATTTACATGAAGTTCCGATATAAATAGAAAAATTCAATTACAAATTTCGCACAGAGTTCAAGAAATTCAAAGTTCAAGGATGTTGCTGCTTGAATTTTTGAAATTTCCAATAGTTTTCATGGAATAATTAAACTGAAACAGATTATTGAGTATGAGGATTCACATATCATTACCGGCAAACTGCCAGATACGGGGATGCTGGCCGAATCGTCGGTGCAAAACGCGATGATAAGATTCGATTTTATTATTCGTCCGTTCCCTGCATAGGTAAACGGACAATTTTTCAGGTGTGAATCTCCCCAACCAGGTATCCTGGAAATACTGAATCAAATCAGCGAAGAAAGCCTGAATGTCCGGAGCGGTATTATCCACTAGCCATCGAAAAGCCGCAGGAATATCTGCAGCAGGCAGAAGTGCGATTGCACACATTTTTCTGTAGAAAACTTTGGCTAGTCTCCAGTTCCGTAGTTTTTGCAAGTCTCTAGGTCCGAGTTTGCTCCTGATTCGCCTAAATAGAGCCTGTAATTGTAATCTTTTTAGTTTTATCAGTCACTTTACTTTAGTATTAGAATTGAGTAAAAAACAATTTATCATCGTGGTGAGTGAAATTTTGCAATAGTTACGAAACAATTGTTTTTTGGTCGTATAAAATAGAGATGATAGTTATTATTCACCTGAGTGTAATGAAACCAACAGTGAATGACTTGGACGTTAGGATAAACGTACAATATTGCGTTTCTCAAGCCGATCTCGTAATCTTGGCAAACCACTGTTGGTACAATATTCGGTGTTAAATGATCCTTGAAATATTCAAGAACCGCTACATATGCTTCTTGCGACTTCCGCGTCATTAAGGCCCACGCTAGTGGTACAGCCTGGAAAATATTAAATTATAGGAAAAAATAAAATAAAAAATAAAAATACCTCATAAATAAATCATTAACTCACTTCGTTATTAACATTTCCCATTATTGTTAACAATTGATGTATTTGGAGGTGTTTGGGGCATACGTTGAAAGTGGCATCGACATTCAACTTATGAATGTCATTTCGTGATTGCAGGAAATCACGATCCCCAAAAATGGTCACTGTTGTCGTCGGATTCACGACAATAGTACGGACAGTGAGATTTCCTTGAGGGTACTGGCGATAGTTACGCCATGTCTCTCTGTTTATTATATTGTCAAAATGTTCTAGTGTTTGAGGCATAGGCGGGTGAGTCTCACTGTGCCACCGCCCCATGGATCTTTCAATTGATACAAATGTTACAATGCTGGCAGCCATGACGTGACTAAAATTGACAAATACAAGGAGGATAGTGCCAAATGAGATAGCGGAATTTTACTAGTAACTTTTTTTCAGATATTAACTAACCATTTCGAAGTGGATCGTTATTATTGCTTTAATGTGGAATTATTTTTCTCACAATGAAGATGGTATAATTTTTATAATGGCCTTTCTTATAACTCTTCAGATTCTTTCCAAAACAGATCTTTATCGCAATTTGTTGATCTTGCTTAAATAACAAGTATCTTAATATGAAAAGGCGAACGAAAATCGATCTTGAAATATTTCAAATGACCGTAAGGATAAGACCCGTAAGACGAAATCGATCCGCGATGACGATGTCACGGAAAAATCGCAAAACTTTCGATTCTATGCGCGTGCGAAGCACGGTAGCATTGGTAATGCTGTAGAATTTGAGAACGCTTGCATCCTATTTCTTTCAATAAACAATATATATATACGAAATACTCACTTCAAAGCTACTCGATCATAAATTATGCGATGGTCTTCGTCGGAAGAAACTACTGCAGTCCATAAGTCGTCTTTAAATGCTTCGCAGTTAATTTCCTCGAACACAGCAAGGTGAGAATGAGGTTTCGTCAGGACTATTTGGTCAGTACCATCGAGAATATAGCCTCTAGCTGTACACGGCCTATCTCGAGCTCCACAACAATTGTAAAAACTGCAATCGAATGTTCGTAGTAATTGAAAGATTTTCTGAACGTGTGGCAATTTTTCATAAATACTAACCTCTTCCCTGGACATTTCGTTTTTAAGCGATAACGATACCCATCCTCTGAACTGAATATTCCGCCATTTCTCTCCCTTGGACCTCTAGGCATTATCGCAGAACTGTTAAGGCCCGGGTGGAGGGATTTTTGCCCGACATGTCCCTAGGAAATTCCCTAGAAAAAACGCGTTTTACGGGTAAC